TATCATGACTCAGAGCATAAGATCTTGAGTCAAGACAGACCAGGATTTGAATCTTGACTCAATGTACCTTCCTGTTAGCTATGTGATTTGCGGGACCTCTTCACTCTCTGTGTGTATGTGTGAGTGTGAGTGTGAGAGTGTGTGTGTGTGTGTGTGTGTGTGTGTTGGTCCTGGGGCTTGAACTCAGGGCTTGAGCTTTTTTGCTCAAGGCTGATACTCTTACCACTTGAGTTACAGCTCCCTTTCTGGCTTTTTGCTGTTTATTTGGAGATGAGTTTCATGGACTTTGATGCTTAGGCTGGCTTCGAACCGTGATCCTCAATTCTCAGCCTACTTAGTAACTAGTATTACAGGCTTGGGCCATTGGCATCTGACTTTCGTTTTTTCTTAAATTAAGATTAGGACAATAATAGTACTTTCCTTGTTAGGGTATTAGGAGGATTTAATGCTAAATACAAAACCAAATGCAGGACCTGGTATATATACAGTTACATAACCCCTTGCTGTTTTTAAAATAGTGACAGTGTGTGGCAGCATAAAGATAGAAATTGGAAACAATTGAACTGTCTGTTAATGGCAATTGATTAAAATGGATGAATTAGACGAATATGGATATAGGAAGATGTGTTCTAAGTATTGGTAGTAGGCAAAGAAGCCAGGTATAGAATGGATGCAGTAAAGGGTCAGAGGAGGAGCTCTGAAAGCAGCCAGGAATACCATCAGCTTCCACAAAGTGCTCCTGAGCGGTGAAGCAGAGATTATAGTGATCTGCTCCATCACTTTTGACCCATAAAACCTGAGTGTTTTTTATACCTTCCACTGTCCAAACCGATTAGTTTAGTTCTCAGACAGCTGAGTTCTATTGGGCCCTTGAGCAGGACCCTGAGCATCTCAGTCAGTGTACATTTCTGACAGGGCTGCTTCTGATTTCCCATGGGCAGCTCTGACCATTCTGCATGCTCTTTTCAGCACTTAGACCACTATAGTTATTCAATTTCTCAAAGTCTACTGGTTTGCTTATAAGTCCGTGGATGACTGTGTTTGTTTTTCCAGGATTCTCTCTGTTGTGTTTTAAATTCCATTTTGTACAGTAGTTCTTTGAAGCAGGCTATTCTACTGTTTGTTTTTCCCCCTTTACTGTGTCTACTTAGTTAGGAGTTAGGGTGGTTGAGGGGTTTCTGTAGAAACTTCATGAGTCATTTTTAAGTGTCTTGTCCCATTGCTGTAAAAATAGGGATGACACTCTGGTGATTTTAAAGGATTAAGGGAGGTGATGGCTGGAAACTGGAGGCTCCACTTAGCTTATACAAGGTTTCTCATTCCCACGCTGTCAGATGGGAGAAGTGACAGTCAGAGGTGGTGTTTACAGTGGAGGCTGAGAAGAGAATTAATGATTTCTGTGGCCTCAGGGAGAACCCATCCTTCTGTAAGACCATTTTCTATGCCCAGCATATGTTGTTGCCTTGTGCAAAAAACTAGTACACCCTGTTGTCACTGTATTTGATTTTGGTACCCTGCATCTTGTATATACATTTATCTAATTTGGGGAGGGGAAGGAGAATAACAAAATGCTGAAACAAGGACACAGGATGACTCATGGCAACAATGATACTCACAGGACACTATGTTGGAAATGAACCTTACAACTTTGGGGGTGGGAAGGGATAGTGGGAGAAAAACAAAAGAGGGGGTAACAATGTACGACAAAAATTGTACTCATTACCTTACTGATGGAACTGTAACCACTCTGTACAGCATCTTTACAAGAAAATAAAATTTTAAAAAACTAGTACAATGGCACAGACTTACCTAGCTAAAAATAGTAATTTTCCTATGTGTTTGCCTGATATAAAGCTCTAGACGAAGCTATGTACTAACAGATATCTGTTTCACTGACAAGCCTCAAGAAAATGGACATTTAAATGGCTAATAGAATTTGGCATAGATGGATGTACTAAGTTCTGAAGCATGTTAGAACCTGGGTCTGTGAGCCTTCCCATCTGGCTGTGGCTCCTTCTAGCCAGATCCAGCTGTGGAGATAGCCTGTTAAGGGATGAATGAACCATGCTATGCATAAGAGACTTTTCTAGTTCACTGAGACTACATACCTTTCTGATGGCCCAACTCTGTGTGTGTGTGTGTGTGTGTGAGAGAGAGAGAGAGAGAGAGAGAGAGAGAGGAGAGAGAGAGACATGTGTGAATGTGTGTATGCAAGTGCTGGCCCTGGGGCTTGAACTCAGGGCGTGGGGGTGCTGTCCCTCAGCTTTTGTGCTCAAGGGTAGCCCTCTACCACTTGAGCCATGGTTCTACTTATTGCTTTTTTTTTTTTTTTGTGATTAGTTGGAGATAAAAATTCTCAAAGACTTCCCTGTGTGGATTGACTTTGAAATGCAAGCTTCAGATCTCAGCCCCCTGAGTAGCTAGAATTACAGGCATGAGCCATACTTGGCCCAACTTTGTTTTAATTTCTAGGTGTCCCAAACTGGGAAATGTAGGCTACATTTACTTTAAATAGTATCAATTGAGTTTTTGAATTATAGTTTCCATTGGTTTTTATCCTCCAAACATCTTTTCAGTGAAGTACCTCTGAATTTCACAGAGTGTGTACCACTCTTAATCTGAAAAAATAAATATTTTTTTCCTGTGCTTCTCTGAATTTCCAGTTCTAACAGTAAATATAAATTACTTTCTTCCCTATACAGGATGCACAAAAGTAACTGGACCCTATGTGGATGATCCAGGGTGTTGTTATGAATTGCTACTCTGGTGCCATTAGATGTGTAGATGATGACATATGATCCTGTATTGTCATCGCATCCTAAGCAGTTTGGGTTGAGAGGGCTTTCTGCATGTGTTTGTGTTTCATCGTTTGCTTTGGGTATCAACCTTTCAACCGTCACTTGCAAATATTTAATCAGATTAACCTCATCTTTTGCTCTCTCTTTCTGTCTCCTTTCCCTACCATCAACTGTTTGTTCAACCCCTGCCATCCACCTTTGCAGTCTCTGATAATTAGTTGCTTTGGATCTGTGTAGGAAGCCAGATAAGATTTGTTTTCAGAGGGCAAGTAAAAAAGACCAACTAGGATCTTGGAGCTTAATTTAGAAAATCCTGCCATGGCTGCTCACGATGCCTTTTCCTCCTCTTCCTGAGAGGCATTTTGTTGTAAGAGGTTTGTCTTCTCTCTCCTGACAGCATAATTACCATGACATCTTCGTCCTACTCTCTGCTTTCATTTTCTTTTTTTCTTTCTTTCTCACTGTGTATGTGTGTGTGTATGTGGGTGTGGGTGTTAATAGAACACCATATGTGTGAAGTTGATGTGTGAAGAAATTGATTCATAATAAGAAATGGATGTATGGATAGAAAGGATTATATTGAACAGTATGGACTGAAAACAATCTGGCAAGTTAATGGCATGTTGAGAGAAACCTATTTGCACGAGCATGTAGATTTGCAAGGCTGGGCCTCCTCCCCTATGTTGAATACATATAATTTAAAGAGTATTTTTGATGCATTTGAAACAACATTGGGATTCTGAGTAAACACAAGACAGCCTTGATGTCTTACAAAGAATCAAGAAGATGAAGAAAAACTGGTATCATATAGTATAGTTACTTCGGAAATATTGGTAGTGATCAAATTTCTTTAGAAAATTAATAATTAATATTGCCTGTTACAGATATTTTCTTTTATGTTTTTAACTACTCCAGGTTCATATAGCTCCTTTAAATGGCTTACATATAATGTATTGTCCTTGGTACTTGGCCCATAAGCAGAGTGGAAGCTTCAATTTTGTATCATTAAAATGTAAAATTTAAGAACCACAAGTGGAGCTGAGAATGTAGCTCAGTGGTAGAGTGCTTGCCCAGGATGCATAAAGCTCTGGGTTTGAATCTTTAGCACCACATACATAGAAAAAGTCAGAAGTGGTGCTGTGGCTCAAGTGGTAGAGTGCTAGCCTTGAGCACAAAGAGGCTCAGGGACAGTGCCTAGGACCCTGAGTTCAAGCCCCAGGACTGGCAAAAATAAAACAAAACAAAAAAAGAACCACAGGTTCTTTTGTTCTTTTTTTAAAATTCAGTATAGGGAATACTCAACTCATGTTTAGAAAATTAAGTACTTAATGAACTTATGAACAAAAAAGCTTTACTAAAAGAAAAATGCAATTAGATGAAGCAGCATATTTTTTTCAATTCAATAGATTGATGTTTTAAAAAAAGATGGTAATTTGTTATTGCTAAGGATATGGAAGGACAGATATGCCTTTGAACTTCCCAGAAAAGAAAACACACATTTATATAAATTTTATGGAGATAAACTTGGCAGTCGGTTTCAAGCATTTTTACACTCTAATGTAGTAATATTGTGTGTAGGGATTTCTTTCTATATTAGGGACTTCTTTCTTAAAATTGTTTGCAGTTCAAATTAAAAAAATACATGTTGGGATGTTTATTACAGTAGTGTCTCACAATGTGGTTTTTGGTTGTGGTTTCCAGTTACAAAGTACCTAACAATGTTTTTGTTAGAACTGTTTTATCCCAAAGGAAAATCTAATGTATTTGAAGTAATGTTCAGCATTATATGTAGTCTCAATATATAAAAAAGTGTTTTTTAAATCCATTGGTGCTGAATGTGATGGTATACACCTGTAATCCCCACACTTGAAATTCTAAGGCAGGAGGCTTGACAGTTTGAGACCAGCCTGGGCTACATAGTGAGGTCCTTTCTCAAAAATAAATGAATAACAGAAATGCATGAAAGAACAGTCACAAATACTTTTGAGACTGACCATTTTAGATCTGTGAATGAAATCTTGATATTTATAGCTGTGTTCTGGACTTAACCAAAACTTTTCAGACCCTTGTTGAATATCTCTGATTCCCAAAGAGCGAGCAAACTATTTCTTTCCAAGGTCAGTGGTTATTTTATGTATAGGTGAAAAATGGTGCCCTTTTTTTGTTGTTGCTTAAACAGTGACTTATGTGTTTTCTGTTCAGATAAAAACTTTGATGATGAAGATTCTGTGGATGGTAATAGACCTTCCTCGGCCAGTTCTACGTCATCCAAGGCTCCACCAAGTTCACGGAGAAACGTTGGAATGGGGACCGCCCGTCGGATTGGGTCATCTACTCTTGGATCCAAGTCTTCAGGTAAGACTCTGTCCTATATGGTATTCTGGGGTCTACTGTGTGTGATGCTTATGGTGTCCCTCAGAAGTGAGTGGGGCTGTATGATTCATATCCCTATGCCTGTTTTTGACTGGATTGGCAATAGTCTGTTAATTCTGATAAGCTGGTAACTTTAGCTTGAGGTACTGTGCAGACCTCTGCAACATTCTGGTAAAGCAAAGCCTTCAGGATATGGACGCTAACACAGCTCAGAGCAGCCAGCTCTGAAATAAATAGCAAAATGAACCCCCCACTGTGAAGGCATTATTTAATCATTTGACCCATCTTTCCCCCGCCCGCTCCCCAGCCTACTTTTATTAATTCAAACAAAGGTATCTGTCTTAAAACTTTTTAAAAAATCTGGTAGGTGGTTTTCTGTTTGTACATATCAAGGTACTACATCTGAAATTGTTAGCTGAATTTAATATAATTTTAAGAGCTAGCTGGAGCTATTTTTTTCAATTGATTTTCTTTTATTGTTGTAGAATTTTTTTAAATATATGTTTTTATTGTAAAGATACTGTACAGAGGGGTTAAAGTTATATGACCCATCTTGCCTCAAACTGCCATAGAGTTTTTTAGCCAATTTCTTTTCAAAACAGACTATCCCAAAGCCTTATCTGTTTCATTTTTGCAAGAAGCATTTTTCCTTGTGAAGATTAGCTTGCATATTGAATCAAACAATACATTAGGATTAGGTCTCTACGGCTTTGAAAATTAACAAGCAGAGATTTCCTGTTACTAGGATCTCGGTTTTTAAATTTACATGCATATTTTCTACTTTTTGCCTCTAAAGATGGTAGTAGCCACTGCTTTTACAACTGTGTTCACTGACTGGTCCTTTAAGCTAGAGGTGGGAGAGGTGGTATAAATTTCATAAGCCCCAAAACCTAAAGCTGAATGGGTCACATAAAAGCTAAGTGAGGATGGCTTTAGAGTGCTGTCACCTGATCATCTATACAGGGCTTTCAACTTATCTGGAATGTTGTCTTGACAAAAACTGTAAGATACCACACTGCCATGTAGCCCTGTATCTCTTGCCATGGAGAGCTGGGCCCATGCAGGAAGAACAGGAAAAGTGTTGCTGTTTATGTTTCTTGTTATTTTTCTTAGTTCTTCCCAATCTTTTTGGGGTGTATTTTTATAAAATTTCATCTTACTTGTTGTTAAGCTCTTGTTCATTTAACACAGCATTAACCATTTAAAGGCTAGAGATAAGCTCAGGTGGTAGACTGCTTTCTTTTCCTACTTGAAGTCTTGGGTTCTGTCCTTAGTACTGCTTTGCTGGTGCTGTGGCTTAAACTCAGGGCCTTGTGCTTGTTAGGCCTGTGCTCTACCATTGAGCCATGCCTCAGCCCCAAACTAACCATTTAGAGAAACATTTTCAGTGTCTCACCTACCTAGTAGTATGTGTCAGAATTGAACAATCTTGCCAAGCTTTCTTGATCTGTCCTTAGGTAATATCAGTTTTACAAACAAGGTTTAAAATTTTTGTGCATGCTCAAAATAGCGCATTTGTACCTGTTCTTCACTTTTACCCTCTAGAAGTCCTCCTGCCCCTATGTGGGTCAGTTCAGCAAAGATGTCAGTCCTGACTTCTCCCCAGGTCTGCTACGTCCACCCCCAATTTATGTCATACCATGTTGGTGACTTTCCTTTTTGACTCCTTGTATTGCTATTCTTGTATTTCATTATTGCTAGTCTTCTAGTCCACTTCCCATATGTGGTACAGAGGAAGTGCTCAGTACCCTTTTCTTGGTGGCTTCCAGCCTTCCCACTGATGCAGGCATCTGAGCACCTGGGTGAGAGAGCGCATACATCACAATGTGGGGCTATCGTCTATTTTCAGTTAGTTTTGTCACGGTAGTAGAAGCATTTTTAATCAAGATTGAAGACACATACTTGCTGCCACATGAAACTTTCTTTATAAAGTTAGTTTTTATCTAAAAGTTTCATTAGAACACACTTCTGGTAAAAAGCTCTTAAAAAAGTAGTCTTATGGATCAGTGTACATCCTTAAATGGAGCTTTCAAAGATGACTATAGGCATCAATTTACAAACTGTTATTACAACAAAAACATAATATCATCTGGTTTTTATATAAAAGTGGAGTTCATACAAGCAAAGCAAAGTAACTTTCTCTTTATTATAGCAATTAACTTTTATTTATTTTTGTACCAGTTCTGGGACTTGAACTCAGGCGCTAGGTGGTGTCCTTTGAGCTTTTTCACCCAAGGCTAGTGCTCTACCACTTGAGCCTCAGTCCCACTTCTGGCTTTTTCTACTTATGTGGTGCTGAGGAATCGAACCCAGGGCCTCATGCATGCAAAGCAAGCACTCTACCACTGAGCCACCTTCCCAGCCCCGACTTTGAATTTTTTGGTAGTTAATTTGGAGATAAGATCATGGACTTTCCTGCCCAGGGCTGGCTTTGAACTGTGCCCCTCAGATCTCAGCCTCCTGAATAGCTAAGATTATAGTTGTGAGCCATGATTTCCAGCTTAGCAGTTAACTTTTATATATCTTAACTTTTATGTATCTTTGAGCATCTTAGAACAACTTTGTGGGGAAAACTTGAATTTAAAAAAATTATAAATTTTAGGGGGAGAGAGAGAGAGAGAGAGAGAGATTGAGAGATTGAGACTGAGACTTCAGTTCTTTAGGCCAGGTTTGAATATTTCAGTAATTTATGCTGGATTCCCAATAATAAAATTTTAAACTTTAAATTAAATGTATATGTTTATTTGAGATCTTTACAATATATGTTGTCTACATCCTTTAAAACCCACATTCTGTAATTACTGAACTTCAACTGGGCATGGTGATGCATATCTGTAATCCCAGCACAAAGGAGGCCCAGGCAAGAGGATAGTAAGCAAAGCCAGCATGCATTCTTTTTAGTGAGACTTGCCTCAAAAGAAAAACAAACAAATGAGAATCACTAGCCAGGCTCTGGTGTCTCACACCTGTAATTCTGACTACTCAGGAGGTTGAGATCTGTTCAAAGCCAGCCCATGCAGGAAAGTCCATGAGACTCTTATCTACAATTATCCAGAAAAACTGGAAGCAGAGCTGTGGCTCAAGTGATAAAAGTACTAGCTTTGAGCTAAAAAAGCTCAGGGACAGCACTCAGGCCCTTAGCTCAAACCCGGGTCCATGGTGGTGGTAGGGAGGAAGAGAGAGAATTAATGTTATTCATGTTGATTTTAAGTCAGAAATGTTTGTCAAGTTTTTTGGTTGTTGTTGGTGGTGGTTATGGGGCTTGACCTCAGGGCCTGGGTGCTGCATGTTAGATTTTAGTGCTTTACCACTTTGAGCCACAACTCTACTTCTAGTTTTCTGTGGTTAATTGGAAATAAGAGTCTCATAGACTTTCTTACCTGGGCTGGTTTTGAACCAAGATCTTTAGATCTCAGCCTTCTGAGGAGCTAGGATTACAGGTGTGCCACTAATGCCTGGCTTCTGCTCCTCCTCCTCTTCTTTTTTTTTGAGAAAAAAAATACTCATTTCCATTTCATGATGTTCATTTTGATAAATATTATTTTTGTATATTTTTTATTATAAAGATACTGTAGAGGGGTTACAGTTACATGAGTAAAGTAATGAGTACATTTCTTTTTTTTTTTTTTTTTTTTTGGGTCCGGTCGTGGGGCCTGAACTCTGGGCCTGGGCGCTGTCCTTCAGCTCAAGGCTAGCGCTCTACCTCTTGAGCCACAGCGCCATTTCCGGCTTTTTTCTTTTTGCTTATGTGGTGCTGAGGAATCGAACCCAGGGCCTTGAGCATGCAAGGCAAGTGCTGTACCACTGAGCCACCTTCCCAGCCCCATGAGTACATTTCTTATCAAGCATTGTTACCTCCTCTTTTGTTTTTCCCCTACCATTCGATCCCTCCCCACCTCCCCAACTCCTCCCTCATCCCCCACTAACCCTAGAAGCATTGAGCCTCTGTTTTCCTCCCCTACAAGTATCTTCTTTTGGTCTTGCTGTGTGTGAATGCCTAGAAAAGTTTCTTAATTCCATGATGATGATGATGATGATGATGATGATGATGATGATGATGATGATGATGATGATGATGATGATGGTGATGTTATATATCCTTGAAAAAATAGTTTTTAAACCTTCCAAAATGTAATTTCATACTTGTAACAAATGTTTTATACATTGTATTTTTAATATGAAACTATTTTACAGCTGCAAAAGAAGGTGCTGGTGCTGTTGATGAAGAAGACTTTATTAAAGCATTTGATGATGTACCTGTGGTACAGGTGAATGAGATATTTTAGTATGATTAAAAAGAGAAATATTCATCAAATTGTAGTTTTCCAAATATGTCTGTATTAGTTTTCTATGAGTACAGTGAAGTGCCTTGACAACCAACTTAAAAGAGAAAGATTTATTTAGTTCACTTATATCCAGAATATTTTCTGCAGGCTTGGGGAGAGCAAGAGGGAGAGAAAGGAAGTGATTACATGTCAAACTAGAAGCAGAGATTTTTTATAGCAGCCCTGTTAGAACAGCCTTCCAGGGATACATCTTCAAAGATTCAGGGGTCCCCCTCATAAAGGTTCTGCCACCTCTGGGGACCAAGCACAGAACACCATGACCTGTGTGGGTACTCATGTAAACCATTGCATTGTCATATGCAGAATTCTAAAATTAGGTTTTGTCTTTTAAACTATGAAGACTGTAAGGGACGCAAGGTACAGTCTAGGATATTGTGGACCCTTTTCAAGAACAGGAAGAATAGCAATCTGGTATGAAGTTCACTGGACAGCTCATGTAAAAAAGAAGTAGATGATTGGGCTAGATGAAAGGGATTGTTATTAGGGAAAAGAAGTAAAGGTAATTTACTATCTGAAAAAATTTACTATCTGAATAATTTCATAAAAGCCTGTTTTATGCCATCTCTGATACATACGTATCTCACCGATACTTAGAAAAAATAATTTATGAAAGTTGGGGTACATGCACAACTTTGGGGCTGTTTTGTGCCTCAGTATATTCTGTTGCTGACTGAGGCTAATGCCTTTGATTTCTATGCTACTTAGTGTTCGTTGTGTGCATTTCTCCTGAGATGCCATATGTTTGAACGAGGCTTAGGTTCATCCTTCAGTACTTGACTATCTCAGTGTGCCTCAGTCTTGGTTGATGTCTTACAATAGGATGTCAGATACCTGAGCAGGCATAGTCATAGTCTTTAGTTAGAGCTATAATGTGATGCTACTAGTACCACTCTGAAGTTGCACAATGACTTAAACATCACTGACTATATGCTTCCTTTGCCCATGAAATGCTCATTACATTAGTAATGTAATGAGACAGAGGGCATTCATAGTGGGAAATAAGCTTAATTTATGGTGAGCCTGCCTATTTTCTCATAGACATTTCTTAAAAGTGAAAAAGTTGTATTATGTATGCTATATGTTATTGACTTTATGAAATTAAGCAACAGTCTTTATCCTACAGATTGTATTGTACTGACTGTAACTTTACTTGCAGATTTATTCCAGCCGAGACCTCGAGGAATCAATAAACAAAATTAGGGAAATATTATCTGATGACAAGCATGATTGGGAGCAGAGAGTAAATGCTGTAAGCTATTGACTTCTTCATGTTATTACCTTCAGATTTAGTCAAATGTTCTAACTATTTTATTACAAAATTGAGAGGTAGCTCTAATGAATTCCAAATAGCAAGTATTTTATGTATTAATTAGCATATTTTACATATTTAGATATAGCATCTCATTTTTATTTTTACTTTTTGAGGTGGGGGGTCTTACTCTATACCTCAGGCTGACTTGGGCTTGATGTGTGACTTACGTTGGCCCATGATTCGCCTGCCTTAGCCTGTGAGTGCTAGGATTATAAGCCATCACCACCAGACCTATTTCTATATATTTTTATCACATGCCAATTTACATAATCATCTATCTCCTGTCCTTTTAACAAAGCCCTATTGATGGCATGTGTGGTGATAGCCTTCATTCTGTCCTTAGGAAAGATGAAATTCTGTGATTATTTGTCTGAAAATGGCATTTTAGTAGCATTTCAAAATATGTCCCTAAGTATTCTCTTTTTTATCTTTCTTGTCACTTGCTAGAAAGTTGTCCCTCCTCTTTTTGAAAGTAGATCAAGGAAAGTAAATGAGTTGGATATTAAAATGAAAGGAGTGTCTTATGAATAAAGCTGTTTTACTTCAGCACTAGCAGGGTGATAGGTGGGAAAATTCTGTTTCAAATTCAGACTAACCAGTTAGTAATGCAGTAGAGAATAATATAGAAATATTGTAGGAATGCTTCTTATTTTGATTCATCAAATAAGTGACAATTGAAGTGGGATGTGGGAGAGAGTAAGCTTTTTGCCTGCCAAATGGGTTTTAGTTTAATATCATGGAATCTTAATAAACAAAAATTTCTGATTTTAAAAAACTACAGGTCTGGGTGCCGGTGGCTCACACCTGTAATTCTAGCTACTCAGGAGACTGAGATTTAACGATTACGGTTTGAAGCCAGCTTGTGCAGAAAATCCCTGTAAAACTCTTTATCTCCAATTAACTACTCAAAAACCAGAAGTTGCACTCTGGCTCAAAGTGGTAGAGCTCTACCTTCTATCTTTGAGTGAAAGCTCAGGGCAGAGTTCAGGCCCTGAGTTCAAGCACTATGACACACACACACGTGCACACACACACACACACACACACACACACACACACAGCCAACACCCCCTCTCCCCCCTCCCCCCACACCCAACAAAAAACCCTGGAAATTTCACTTAAATCAAATACTAAAATATTAACTTAAATATTAAGTATTTAAATCATATAAAGATCTCACATTTAAAAATTATTTAGTATAGATACATAGATTTGTTTTTATGTGCTAGATAACATTTTATTGGTTGAATTCTTTAGGAAGAATTGTTTCTTTGTTAATAGAACTCTGTTTTGAGCTCTTACATTTGATGGCTTCTGTTAGGTATGTTCTGTATTAAAAACTGTTTTGTCTTATCTCTGGCTTTTCTCTGTGTCATTAGCTAAAAAAGATTAGATCTTTACTTTTGGCTGGAGCTGCTGACTATGATAACTTCTTTCAACATTTGCGTCTTTTGGATGGAGCCTTTAAACTCTCTGCTAAGGACCTGCGGTCTCAGGTAGTGCGGGAGGCTTGTATCACGTTGGGGTAAGGACCATGATGCTCCGTATTCTCACACACCATAAAGTAGTCTTGGCAAAGAGCCTCAGAGATGGCTGCTTGCACATGTCCATTGGGTCTCCTCAATAGAACCTCTGACTGGTCTCAAAGACCCTTGCCAGCTTACTGTCTGTTCATATGTTAATTTTGCCTGATTAAGCAAAGTGCAGTGGATTTTAAATTTTACTCAGTGATGTATCTCTGAAGCCTGTATCTAAAATTTGAAACAGTTTATATTATATGAAAATAAAATTGTATAGAATTATGTTTCTCATTGATTTTTTTGCTTAGAGAATATAATGTGACTATTAGACTGTTTACATGCTTCTAGAAGAGTACTATATGCTATAACATTAAAGTTAATGACAAGTACTATGGTAACATTTTATTTTAGCTAAAACTGTTCCAAACTTAATATTTGAATGTGTTGGAATATTGAAGCAGCAAGTACCAGCAGATATTGCAGCTATTTAGTTTTGGTGGCAGGCAGATACAATATGTGAAAAATTTTAAAATGGCAAGGGAGTCTATTGTTTACAAGCAATCTATTGTTATTTTAAGGCTTAGAAATAATTATAAAAAATAACTCTTTAAATGAGCATTAAAAAATTACTTTTTTAAAGTATCTTTGATCCTTGTCTTCTATCTCTAGATGACCTTGAAGGCTTTCAAATGTTAAGAATTTTTATATGCTTCACTTTAATAAGGCTATAACTACAATCCTGCATTCATTTCTTATTATAGGCATCTGTCATCAGTTCTGGGGAATAAGTTTGACCATGGAGCTGAAGCCATTATGCCAACTATCTTTAATTTAATTCCAAACAGTGCCAAAATTATGGCCACTTCTGGTGTTGTAGCTGTTAGGTTAATCATTCGGGTAAGTATATTGCAGGGCCATTCATAAAATAAGCAATTGGTAAATGTAGCTGATAAGAAGAGGTAAAGACATTTCTGATTAGAGTATTATTTAATTGGACTCATACTATACATACATCATCCTTTTTTTTCCACCTGCCATTTGCAGTATGTAGGCTTTTTGTGGTCTGTGATGTGATCTGTAGGTATGGATTACATTTACTAAGGTATTGATCATTAACTCATCATTGAGGTGTGTGTGTGTGTGTGTGTGTGTGTGTGTGTGTGTGTGTGTGTGTGTGTGTGCGTGCGCGCGCCTGCATGTGTGCACACACGCGCGCATGCCAGCCAGTACTAGGGCCTGAAATCAGGATCTGGGCACTGTCCCTGAGCTTTTTTTTTTTGGGGGGGGGGGGTTGGGAGGTCCGGTCATGGGACCTGAACTCTGGGCCTGGGCGCTGTCCCTCAGCTCTTCAGCTCAAGGTTAGCACTCTACTTGAGCCACAGTGCCACTTCCGGCTTTTTTTTTTTTTTTTTTTCTGCTTATGTGGTGCTGAGGAATCGAACCCAGGGCCTCATGCATGCAAGGCAAGCGCTCTACCACTGAGCCACCTTCCCAGCCCTCCCTGAGCTTTTTTTGCAGAAGGCTACTGTTCTGCCACTTGAGCTACTATTACACTTCTGGCTTTTTTCTGTTGGAGGATAAGTGTTTTATGGATTTCGCTGTCTGAGCAGATCCTCAGGATTTCAGCATTCTTAATAGTAGAATTATAGGTATGAACCAGCATTCCTCATTGGTTTACTTTGTTTCTTTCTTGAGGTGCCTGGGGACTGACTCCTATGTAGATACTCTACCATAGAGCTGCGTCCCTTGCCTCTAGCTGCTCCCATTGCTAGGCTCACTCTGGTCTCATCTTTCTGCTATTGTTCTTGTTCTTTCCTCCTTAATCCCAGTACTTCCATGTTAGGTATTTGTGTTGAAGATTGGCTATTTAACCCAAAGGTTAATTAATTGCACATAAACATAGAAACCAAATGATCTCTTCACTAAAGTTTTCTAGGCACTATTTAAATCACCTCTGAGTAACCTACTTGCAGGTTTTTAGTAAAGCTCAACAAGAATAATCTTTTTAAAAGGAAAATTTTCTACAACCCATCCTCCTTACCTTCAGGGTCCAGCTTGTGAAACTTTGGGTCTTAATGATTCTGATTAAAACCTATCTAGAATGTTCTTGATTATCATGGGTTACTGGCTTTTATTTTCATTTTTTCTTGCTTATACTGTCTACTTCAAAGGTTAGATCCACAGACATTATTTTATGTTTTCAGTTAAACAGTGCCAAAATCTTGATTCTGTTACACTTAGATCTCATACCAGTGGTGTTTTGACTTTATACTGAATTTTATATCATCATGTTTATAGTGGCCTTTGACATCTCAGTGAAATACTATTTGCTTTATCAACTTAATAACTAATGACACTTAAGTCTGATGTAGTGTAAAGACATAGGAAGGAAGCCAGTCTCTTTGCTGAGTTTGTATTTGAAAATATTCACCTCTGTTTTTTTGTTTTTCTTCACAGCACACACACATCCCTAGGCTAATACCTGTCATAACAAGCAACTGTACCTCCAAATCTGTTGCAGTTAGAAGGTAAATTTTTAAAGTTCTTATTATATTGAAATTGCTTAAAAACTGAGACAAATTCAAAATCTATCTCAATGTTTGAACTGTTTTAAGATAACTAATGTTTTTGCATTTAAAAACCAAAATTTAGAGAGAGAAACTGTCGAGAGAGTTGGGTGGAAAGAAATAGAGAAGGAAGGGAAGAGGGTAGGGAGACAGACAGGAGACACATATGGTAAAGAGGAAGAGGAGAGGACCTCTGTACACTTTTTTCTGAGATAGACCTTTACCAACAATGTCATTGTTTTCCCCCATTCCTTTAGTAAAGACAGTAAAATACACTTACAAGAAAAATAGCATAATTAGTAGCAGTGATTTCATAATAACACATTACTATGAAATAGCATATGAAATATGTTGTTTGAGTCTTCTGATAGCAAATTCTGAGATACCTGCTTCTGCTACATTTTGTGTGATAGACACAGGAGATTCTACCGACATACATGACCTGGGTAATTAGCTGGCTGTTGTTCTCAAGTCCTTACGTTGTCATGTGTCCTGGTGATCTTCCCTAGACTACTATATAGAATATATAGACTACTATATAGAATAAAGACTCTATTCCTGTAACTCAGATTGCTGATTCTTGACTATTGAATTGAGTCCCCTGAAATCTATGGATTCCCTTCCCAGTAAAACATAATCATATGGAGGTTTTTAGGGAGTGCATATGGATAACTTTGTGGACAGGTCTTAGTGTGTTCTGTCACAAGCCTTGTAAGATAAGTTAGTGGCAGCTGAGACAGCAGCCTTTGGCTCCTACTCCCATAGTTTCATGCCTGCTCATATAGCTCCTAGTGTAGTGAAAGGTTCCAGCTTGCCTTAACTCTCTGTTGTGTGCCTCCTTTCCTGGGCTGTCATGTTGATACTGCCTGGATTCTTTATGAGTAGAAAAGCAGTCTTGTATCCAACCGTTGTTTTAATTGACATATGAAAGTTGTTTATGTATATGTTTATGGTGTACAACATGATGTATTGGGATGGTTAAATAATTTAGTTGTTTAGTGTATCAGTGTATCTAATTCCTCACATGTTAGAGATTTACCCCCCAATCCCCAACCCTCCTACCCCCCATGACAACATTTGAAATCTACTTTCAGCATTTGTGAAGTCTACAAATCGTTAATAATAGAATCACCATGACGTATGATAAATCTCTTGAATTTGGTTCTCTTGTCTAATTGAATATCTGTGTCCTTTGTCTAACTTTTCACCAGCTTCTGAATTTCCTTTCCTCTGGTCACCACTCCTCTTCCATTGACTTTCTTTAGATTCTACATATTAGTGACATTATATTTGTCTTTGTATTTGTCTTTGTGTCTGGCTTTTTTCACTTAAATATAATATCCTTCAGGTTTATTCCTGTTGTCTCAAAGGATAGGATTTTCTTCTTTAATGCATACATCACATTTTCTTTAATCTGTTGAAAGATGATGGCCAGCCAGGTCTTAATCTGGCTTACTGTGAATAGTGCTGCAGTGAACTTACCAGTGCAGATGTCTCTGCCATACTGATTGTATTTCCTTTGGATCAAATACCAGTCCGTACCAATCCATAACACGATCCATTTTATAACAAGTATGTGAATGGCAAGAGAGAAAAAAGAGAATCCTCCTCTAAAACCATGGTAATATATATTCCACTTTAGAAGTGTAGTGTCCAGTTGTGTGGCTGGGTTAGATATCCTGAGGAGTGCAATCTGTCCTTGATCTACAGCAAGAGCAGAGGAGAACAGTGTCAGGCGCCCTGTATATAGAAAGTTAGCCAGGCAGTGGGAGAACTATGAACCTTGAAACCTGATGGTCCTCTGTTGAAAGCAGTACCTTATCTCACTTAGTAATAATTTATGTCATTATGTGTCAGAGTTACTTGTGTGGGTTGTTCTGAGGCTTCACAAGTCAACTGTAAAGCATGGGTACTCAGTGAAAACTTGGTAAGTGGTGACCATTATTAGAATTTGTTGTTGCTTCTGCTGTTATTATCACTGTTATTTAAGTTTCCAACCTTTGTGTAAATTGAGGTAACACCAGTCTTTATTCTGGAATATAGCAGGTGTTTAATATATTAATCAGCTTTGGCCATAACAAAATACCATAGACTGGGTGGTTCAAACAACAGATTCTGGAAGATGGAATTCTTTTCAATGGTTCCTTGCCACTCAGAGAGAGGGTGAAAAGGGAGACAAAGATGACAACGAAAAATTCTTATAAGGACACTAATCCTATCTAAGGGCCCCAGCCTCATGACTTCATCAAAACTCCTAAGGCTTTATCTACAAATAAACTTCACTTTGAGGCTGAGGGCTTCATCAGATAAATTTGAGGTTGAGATAAAGTTCAGCAGTTTTGGCCTTTAGTAACCTACAGTCACCATGACAGTGGAAATTCTATCTTTTCATACCAGTTTTTCTTTTTTTGCTTTGTTTTTTGTTTTTGGTTGGTTATGGAGCTTGAACTCTGGGCCTGGGCGCTGTCCCTCAGCTCTTCAGCTCAAGGCAAGCTCTCTACCACTTGGGCCACAGTGCCACTTCTGGTTTTCTGGTGGTTTATTGGAGATAAGAGGCTCATGGATTTTTCTGCCCTGCTGGCTTTGAACCACATTTCTCAGATCTCAGCCTTCTGAGTAGTCAGGATTACAGGCGTGAGCCACCAGTGCCCGGCTAGTTTTTCTATTTTTGTATGTAGTGAGAGTATTTGTCTTGAAGCTCATTACCTGTTTGTGTTTCCTTGAGGGGTTCCCAGGGCTGATAATACTGTTTACTTCTAAAAGACAAGAATACTGGGCTTCAGAAAAAGGAAATCCTGAAGAGGCATAGTACCCAAAATGGTGATGTAATCCAAAGGATGTGAATCCTTAATCAGACCCATTTATAAAGAGTAGTATTGGGTCACTTAAGAAAAATGGTATTTTATTTTCACTAATACACACATTACTAAGTTACGTGTTTCTTGCTACTTTGCAGGCGCTGTTTTGAATTCTTAGATTTACTCTTACAAGAATGGCAGACACATTCTCTGGAAAGGTGAGCATCTGTCTGCTTTGCAACTGCATTCTTCCCTGGATTGAATCTGAGACTGAATGCCTTAACAAGTAGTCCAGCCCATCTTGTATAAGAAAGGAAGGAACCTAAACATGTAAAAAAAAAAAAATTAACTCTGTATATCATTTTGACAATAAAAAAGGAAAAAAATGAAAGAAAAAAATAAAAAAATTATTATAAATGTGATGTACATAGGAGTTACAGGTAAGTCAGGTACAGAGTACATTTCTTTTTGGATAATGTCACCCCTTCCCTCCCTCGCTCTTTCCCAGCAATAAACAGCAGCAAAGAAAAAAACCCTCTGTTTTCATTTCCTGGAGTTCATTTTGATAAAAGTTAATATGATAAGATGCATGTAGACATAGTGCCTTTGTTGAACTTTTTTTAGAAACACAATTGTGATTTCCACTTATGTGAGCCACATACTATTGGCAGGAGCTTTTATTGAAATACTAGTATGCCTAGACATGTGGGCAAATGTGCAATTTGATGTTACAAAGCCAAGCTTATGATGATGTTGGTGTGGTTCCAGTGTATAACATACTGAGTCCTCCTGAGGAGAATGTTTAAAGCTGGTCTTCATCTACAACACACTATAATTTAGGTGCTTAGAAGAATTTAAGTTGTTAGAAAGTTTTTTGTTTTCTTCCTCCAATTGTCAATAGTTTTTTTTTTTTTTTTACTCAGGTTGCTAGTTGGAAAATTCACATCACCATAATTAAAAAGAAGGATTGTGATGGAATTCTGGAGGTGGTGTGTGTCCATTCATTTTGAGATTCCTTCTTAAACAATTTTAGGGGCCTATTTTCTGAGTTAAATTTGGAAACAGCAAATGATGGATTGTGCCATACCTTTCTCTTTGGTCTATCATATAGTTTGTGAAAGGGAATCATTTGATTAATACTGAGATTTACTTAAGTATTAGGAGTTCCATTCTATACTGTAGGGGTCAGAAGTAAATTCCATCTGAAATGACTTTGCATTTAGAAGACAGTCACATGCTTTTTCAGTACATTCTTGTTCTTCATCCTCTTGGGCATTATGTCTTCTTTATTGAATGATAGTTTTGGAACTTCAAAGTGGAAAGTAGAAGGAGATACTTAAGGTGGGAACAGGTGAGCAGAATTGAAAAGCCAGAGAGCCTCAGATGGAGAGCTTCTGTTGTTCATTTACCATCAACCTCATTGCCTGCACTAGCAAGGGCCCTCTAAATATTTATTGAAGGAATGAAGGAGGGAATAGGGCAATGACTTTCTATGAACTTGTTAGAATTATTCACTTTAGTTTGTTTAAAATTGTTAAGTATTTAAAAGACATGGCTGGCAATTTTTTTCTCAGTTGTGGTAAGATACAACTAAAGAGAATACCTGTTTATGAAATAGTTGACTGATTATAAAAAATTATTTGTGTGTTATGCTGATATGATGTCACACACATGTAATCCCAGCTTAGACTTGAGAGACTGAGACAGGAGGATTTTAAGTTGAAAGCCATCCTACACAACATAGAGATTTGCGCTCTCTCTCTCTCTCTCTCTCTCTCTCTCTAAGTAATCACATGGGCTGGGAAGGTGGGTCAGTGGTAGAGTGCTTGCCTTGCATGTATGAGGCCCTGAGTTTGATTCCTAAGCACCACATAAGCAGAAAAAGCCCGAATTGGTGCTATGGTTCAAGTGGTAGAACCTCTAGCCTTGAGCTGAAGAGCTGAGGGACAGAGCCCAGCCCTATGACATGCCCTATGTCATGCCCTATGACAAACAACAACAAAAAGTAACCACATTAGATTATAGGGACCGCGCCCAGCCCCAGAGTTCAGGCCCTATGACAAACAACAACAAAAAGTAATCACATTAGATTATAGTAATGTGATGTATACAGTCTTTTCAGTATTATGATTATTATAATTTTTGTGGAAATTCTGACTGTGGAAAGACAGTGTTTGTTGTTTGTGTTTATGAAAGAATGAGCTAAATATGATCTGAAAGAAAGTCAGTTGTGATTTACAGAAAGTCAGTTGTGATTTACCAACTCACAAAAGATAGTAGGGCTATCTAGGACCTTAGTGATGGTAGGTAAGCATGAGGAAAAAGTATTGGCCAGGACAGAAGTTAAAGGTCCTGAAATACATATCAGGTCCACTAAGCTATGTGTTGATTGACCGTTGCATGAAGGTTCCATGTTGCACATTGCTATCCTGAAGTTCTTTCATATATATGTTTCATCCACATACTCAATGCTTGTTCTTTCTTTTCTAAATATCTAGACATATATCAGTATTAGCAGAAACAATCAAGAAGGGAATACATGATGCTGATTCGGAAGCAAGGATAGAAGCCAGAAAGTAAGTGTTCATGATACACTGTCTATTATTCATATGCATTGTATGGACTGCCCTCTTGAAAAAGACTACTGATTTTTTTCTTTTTGTGCTGGTCCTGGGGCTTGAACTCGGGGCCTGGGTGCTGTCCTTGAGCTTTTTTTGCTCAATGTTAGCACTCTACCACTTGAGCCACAGCTCTACTTTAGGTTTTTTGCTGGTTAATTGGAAATAAGAGTCTCATGGACTTTAATGCCCAGACTGGCTTTGAAAAGTGATCCTCAGATCACAGGTGTAAACCACTGGTGCCCAGCTGAACATATTTTCTTTCTTTCTGTTTTTTTTTGTTGTTGTTGTTGGTCATGGGGCTTGAACTCTGGGCCTGGGTGCTGTCCCTCAGCTCTTCAGTTCAAGGCTAGTGCTCTACCACTTGAACCACAGTGCCACTTCCGGCTTTTTCTGCTTATGTGGTGCTAAGGAATCGAACCCAGGGCCTCATGCATGCAAGGCAAGCACTCTACCCCTGAGCCACCTTCCCAGCCCTGAACATATTTTCTTAATCATGACTTTTTTAATGTGATCCAAAAAGTCTCCATTTCAGAATATTTCTGGTTTTCTTTTTTTCTTTTTCCTTTTATTTTGTTTAGGTTTGTTGAGTGATTCTAGTTATAAATAGGACTGAGATAAACAAAATACTTATTTTAAGAAAATAACTTAGTTTATGAGAAATTATTGCATTAATCATTGTAGTCAGAATTTGTGTGTTCTTTCACTACCCAAACTATGTTAAAAAACCATGTCATGATTTGGTACACTCTATTAATTTACCGTGAAGAATCATGGTCCCTGGGTTTTCTCTCCCTGATATCACATCTCTTCAGTAATGAACTGTGAGTCATGGTAAGGGGTATCAAATTGGCTAGTGCTCAGGACTGTCATAATGTTATGTGCCTTTTGAGATTCATAGTGAAGGTGGTTTTGCCATTTCAATTGAGTATACTCTATTCATGTGGCTATAACTATACATTCCTAACCTCCCTAGACATCATATTTTTTGTCATTTGATTGTAAATATCTCAAGTTTAGTAATAAAATTTACTTCTTTGGCGCTGAGTGGTAGAGTGCTTACCTAACATGTATAAAGCTTTGGTTTGTTCACACCACAAAAAAAGAAGAGAGAAAGACTGGGAGGGGTGAGAAAAGACTTACTCTTGCACAGCAGATAAATAACTACAGTTTTTGCCAGTTTTGTATATGTGGTTGTTTCTTCCATACTTCCATAATTGACCAGCTCTTCTAATGGATGTTACTCCAGCATTATAGTTCTTAGTTCCATCTAGCCTCATCCAGTACTACTTTTTCTTAGGCTGCCTTTGCAGTTAAACGTTTCCCTTAGGTGTAGTTCCTAACTCTGAAGTATTTCCTCAGCTTTGTTTTTGGTAGTTCCTGCCAAAACAAGACATAATTAATAGTTGCTAAAAATTATGTAGGATGGATTTATTAATGATGTACTTATGCTGTCTTTATCCCTGCATTATTTCCCCTCCCTCTAGCCTTTTTTAGTTTTTATTTTAATCAAAGCATGAAATGCAGATTTCAAAAAGTTCTGAACATTTTTTCTTTTCTACATGTTACTAAGGCAATTGTATATACCTCAAATCAAAGAATGTAAAATTGCATTTATAAAGGCTGCCAATAACAAATCCAGTAGTTTTAGCTTTGTCTTCCCTAAGGCTTTCTAGTCATATTAGTCCCTTTAAGTCCCACTTTGTAAAAAAGATTCAAATTCAGAGAAGTAACTTGATCAAGTCAAAACATCTGTAAGCTGTGAGGCCAGGATTCATGCAAGACCACCTTTGTTCATGCCCTCTTCCTTATGTTCTGCCAGTGCTGTTAACAGGTAGGCTACAGCTCTTGTCCTCAAAATGCTATGTAGTGTACTCCAGAGGAATCTGTGTGTCTTTTCCCTAGATGTTACTGGGGTTTTCACAGTCACTTCAGCAGAGAAGCAGAGCACTTGTACCACACCTTGGAGTCCTCTTACCAGAAAGCCCTGCAGTCCCACTTGAAGAACTCGGACAGCATAGTGTCCCTGCCTCAGTCAGACCGCTCATCTTCTAGCTCTCAAGAGAGTCTCAAGTAAGGAACTCAGCTTTGCTTGACATAGTGTGAGGTTTTATATGTTAAATTTTGTGCATGAAATCACAAATCCAGCTGTGATTTTTACATGTGTACCTGGTAAAGCTTCTTCCTGACTTCAGGAGTATTTTGATGCCTGGCAAGATCTTCTGGGGAAATGTAAGGAAACAATTGGCCTTGATCCCTGCCATAAGTAATTTTAGAATAACTCAATGAATTGTAGAGTAGAGTGAACTATAGATATCATAGGGTTTCCCAAAAGGATGTATTAGTTGGAGATAGGTTCTTAGCCTGCCTTCTTTGGTCTATATTTCTAGTTGTTATTTTGCTCAATACCTGAGAGGTATCATCAGGTATAAAAAGCTGGAGCTTTATCAGGAATGGGATTTATAAGATAGCAACTCATAATTGTCTGCTACATTCTGAAAACCTTTGAGTAATTCTTCATTATCATCATTTCTTATTCTGATTTGCATTTGTATTACTACAGATAGATGCTCTGGATAATAAATGTTAATACTTTTGTTTGTAGCCGGCCACTCTCTGCCAAAAGAAGTCCCACTGGCAGTACCACATCTAGAGGTAAGACCATAGCAAGCATCCTTGGGAGGACTGTTTCCCTCCTCTCATGTGACACTCTGGTGTCAGAAAGTCCTGGCCTGCTGTCAGCTCCTCTCTTGTCATAGTCCTTTGCCATTCAGCTGTCTGCTCACTGTCTTTGACAGAGCTCTGCTTAGCTTGGACAACTGCTTACATGTTAGGCTGACTTAGGCAGGCAGAAGTCATCTGTGACCTCTCCTCCTGACCTCCTTCCAGTGAGAACATGCTGCCATGGCTGCTGCTGCTCCTTTTTCACATCACATGATAGAATGATAGAAGAGAAGGGGAGGGGCCCCTTTGGTTTTCTGTGTGGCAGCAGCTTGGTGGCTGTTAGATCTGGAGAGAGGAATATGTTTTCTAAAACTGGTGGGGCGCAGAGGGCGGGGGCAGAGGTGGTGGCTTGTGTTTGGCACATTCACACCACAGCATAAAGAGGCTGGTCTGAAAGGAACAGATGGAAGTTACTTCCATTTCTCATAGTAAACCAGATCTGCGACTGTTTCTTTGGGTTTCTTTGCATTTGTGGTCTTCCATTACTAGAAAACAAGTACAACAGACAAATGAGGTCACGTTTGGTTGCCCCAACTGGTCTTTCAGGGCCCTTGAAACTCTTGGTCAACTGTGGGATTCAACATTTATTACAACTTGGAATTGGTTTATAAGACAAGCAAAACAATACCTGGCTTAACAGTATATGTTTGGAATTCTATGTACTTCTTACTGACATCTTCTCCTTTACCACTGAAGCATCTACAGTTAGTACCAAATCTGTGTCAACAACTGGGTCCCTCCAGCGATCTCGAAGTGATATTGATGTGAATGCAGCTGCCAGTGCCAAATCCAAAGTCTCCTCCTCTTCAGGCTCTACACCCTTCAGTTCTGCAGCAGCATTACCTCCAGGGTCCTATGCATCTTTAGGTAACCAAATGCCCCTCCTCCACTCACTACCCTGCTGTCTAATGTGATTCTTGTCTCTTACAGAACACCATGCATGATCAAGGGAAGTCTCAACTGCTGCAGGGCTGATACTGATGTCTAACCTTATATGGTTGGGCTGGTTCCCAGCCACCGTTTGTCCAATGTCCCTTTCTCAGGTCCATCATCCTGTTCACTTATGAGCAAGAATATGCCTACAGGTGGCCCTGAGCATATCCTTCCCTCAGCTTACCTGCTTTGAGGCAAGCCAGCCAGTGCCTTTTGTCACTGCCTGTATAGCTCAAGCTGGCTTTACCCCTCCTGGCACTGATAGGAGCAGAGCCAGGGGCCTCAGAGAAGGAATCACTTGGCATGGTCATATAGTTAGAGGTCTCTCAGTTAGAGTTGAGGGGATGACAGGAGACTCCAAAGGAAGGTAGAGTCATGAACTCACATAGCCATATTTGTACAAGAGAGTGCTTGCTGGCTTCCTATATATCTCCTGGGAGGAACATACTCTTACTATAATGATTATCCAAAAGTGCTTTATGAGAAGTTATTTTCCAAAATTTAGTATCTGACACAACATTTACCAGACTGGTAGTATATTTCATTTTATTTTTGAAAAATCCAAGTCATTCAAACCATAGATCTAAGGATGTAGCTATATTGGTTCTATTCTGAATTTTAAGGAAATGAGTATGATTTAAACAAGAAATACTGAAATGGAGTTATTTATGTGACCCACCAACAAATTGCAAAGTCATGTCTAAAACTAAAGTTCTGAAATGTGTTGAGATTTGAAGCATAGGAGAATAGAACTTAAGAGAAGACTCCTGGGGCAGGCCTTGGTTAGCTTGAACATTAGTAGTCTGTCCAACTGAGTCTCTGCCCATTAACTACAAGTACTGACCACCTGGTTCAGATGTGATTTAGGATCAGTGAAATTCTATGAAGGTCCTTTGTAAACTGCTATCCTGTAAGGTAGAAGAAAGCTGGGTTGTATGGTAGGAGCATTATATATAGGAGGTATATATCCTGAATATGTGTCTAATCGGTCTTAATTTCTCTGGTTTCCTGAAACCCAGTAAGAATTCTCTTGCCATTTAACCATTATATTGTTAGGTAGGTCTGTTAGAATGATATAGCATTGTGTAATCATTGAACAAAGGAGAAATTCCAGGTTTTCCCTCCCTGATGGTGAATTACTATGTCATTTTTAGGTCCCATATCTCAGTTTTGTCTTTACCTGTGTTACCTGTATTTCTTTCATTGCTGGAAAACAGCAGCCTTTGACATACTCTGTGATTTTGTTTTTTTGTTTTTGTTTTTTAATTTCTGTACATATGTAGAATATTTAAATGAGTTCTGAAAAGACAACCTCCCCTTCCAAGACCTTGCTAGTGAAAGTCCCAGGTCTTTGATAGACAGATAGCTGAACCTTTGGAAGAGCTCAGAACAAATTTCCAACCCAGTGTCACCTCTTCAAACAAGACCTCAACATTCAGAATTTTTTGCTATATCCCAAGAATGCTACTTCTTTCTTTACTCAATCTTCCTCATCCCCCCAAATAGAATATATTCCTGCTGAAAATTTGCTAGTTACTGCTTAGATTGACACATGACCTTGGTGCACAAGTGTAGCATTCAAGCTGATGATCCTTTTCCAAACTTCTAGAGTCCAGACACATGAGGGAAGACATGGAGTACATAGGCCTGGATGCAGGTACCAATGTGACAGCTGCTGCTGCTGCTGCTGCTGGGCGTGTAGTTGGGATAGGCCTTGCTGGAGTCAGCCTCTGAGCTTCTTACTGCTTCTGCCCTCGGGTGACTCCTTAGTACCTGAACTTTAGTCCTTTTTGCTCCTTGCCTTCTGCTAGTACTTTCTTTCAGGGAAAAGTAACCCTAAGGATGAAGATTGGCTAAAACAATAACCACTTCAACTGTGGCCTGACCACAGGTTGCCCCTCTCTTTAAGCACATTACCCCATGCTAAGCTAACTTTATGGGAAGACGTACTTAACTTGCTTCAGACTCTGCTTTGCTGTTGAACTTATTTCTCTTTTGTTTTCGTTTTGAAACTGTACTTGGGCATTTTTAGTAGCTAATAACATTCTGCTTTTAGTTTTTGAATGTTACTAACTGTTCCCTGTTATCCCTTCCCTTGTTTTTGTTTTTGTTTTTTTTTCTTTTAATTTGCTTAAAGATGGTACTACCACTAAAGCTGAGGGTAAGCGGTTTGTTTGTGTAATTGAGGTGTGTCTCGCTTTCTCTAGTCCTCTGTCCTCACCGAGTGTTGCCTGGGGCCCACTTGTCCTCACCAAGGTCCCTGCATGAGATGTTGCACGCTGTCTCCACTGCTCTTCTTCATCTGTCTTCACCGGGGATCCGTCCTCCCTCTACCTGATGTCTCCTCCCTTTCTCATGCAGTCCTTGGTCTTGTGAACTTTGGCACTGAAGTATGCCGTATGTGATTGTGACGCTTTGCCTACACTGGAGAGGAGCACTGACGTTATGTGTGCTGCTGTCTTTGTGGGCTGCTTGCCTCGGGTTTTATTTCTCCTGAAACACCACTTTAGCTTTTCTTTTCTTTTTTTTCCCCCTGTGGGCCTCTTAGGACTTTCCTGTTTTGAAAATAATTTTCCATGTCAATTATTTAGGTTAAAGGCTGATAAAAAGTTTTCTGCTGAGTAATATAAAGAAAAAAAAAATTTAAATGGTTTTGTCTCCCCTAAAGGTATACTACAAGTTTCATGATTTGGAGGGGGGGGTGGGTCCTGACACAGAGCCCTGTCCTTGTCATTCATTTATACTCATTTGTTCACCCGTTAATCATGTGCTCAGTGCCTTCTGTGGGTCAGGTTATGGGGTACATACCAAAGCTATAGCATGGGAAAGCAGTATGGCAAATTCAGACTCACTGTGGTTTCTTTTGATGTCATTCTCAAGAAGTTCTTTCTGACTTTTATATTGCATTTTGAACTTTAGACACAGTAAAATCTGTGCAAGTCTTTGATTAGCATGTGCAAGTAAGCTCCTTCCTCCCAAAGTTTCTAGATACAAATCAAGATAGCACTCCAAAGGATTGAAATTTAAAGATGCTTTCTCTGCTTAAGAGAGGGACAGACTTACTAACCCCCAGGATGACTTTAATCATTCAGAACAGCAGGTTCATCTGCATATATTATATAGTCACCCTAAAGGGCTAGCATGCAAAGTAGATTGGGTCTTAGCTTAATGTGTGTATTGGATTCTAGCAGTTGTTCTTCTAGTGTGTATTATAGATCCTAAGGGAGTCAGAAAGAAAACAAAAAGGAGTATTTTAAAAAGATTAACATAGTTCCAAGATTCAGGTTTCTCTAACTTATAAGAATTACCTGGGTGCTTTCTGTAAACATAGTCTTAGGTTTTTCTCCTTAAGAAACTAAGTTTGGAAGGATCCAGAGAGCCAGCTTCCCTCAAGCCTCCCTGGTGATTCTTAGGGCCATACAATTTGTGAAATGAAAAGATGTACAAAAAACCTACCCAGTTGAGAACCTCATTTGTGAAAGCAGAAAGCTGAGTCTTGGTGGTAGTTAGGAAACTGGGTGATTATTTTCTATTTATTCAACAGATGTAGTTTCATGTTTCTCACTCTTAAAGTAGAATCGGCATGTTCCCTCTACCTAGCTGGAAGTACGGTGAAAGAGCAGAGTAAAATAGAAAAATGTACATGAAATAGGAAGCAAAAAACAAACATGGTTAGTTATATACCCCGATCCCTATATGTTTGAAATCAACCTGTTTTGTTGCCTAGCCCTAGGAATTTTAACTTCTTAATTCTCCAGTCCTGAGCAAGGTAAACATCGGTCTTAACACAGTCACAGACAGGCAGGAGACTGCCTTGCTTTCTTCTCTTCTGGCAAGAAATAGATATATGGGCCCCTAATTCTTTAGGTAACACAAGGCAGACTCTACAACTCCCTGCAGCCCCAACCCTGGTCCTTATAAGATTTTTTCTTATAAGTCTGTTAAATACACAAAAAAGGTGATTTCATCATAAAAAAAAAATTGAGAGGCAATATAATTCTAGCATTCAAGAGGCTGAGGCAAGAGAACTGAGAGTTTGAATTTAGATATGACAAGTTCAAGACCAGCCTAAGCAACATAGCGAGACCTTGTCTTGATAAATCAAGGCCTAGGAAGGTAGCCTTGTGATAGAGCATTTGCCTATCACGTATAAGGCCCTGGATTTCATCCTAGCAAAGAAAAGTCAGACTATGCTTTGTATTCTGGCAACTTTATTATCACAATGATTGAAAAAAAAGTCTATATTCTTCAGGACTAATTTATTATTCACATCAAGGAGCCCTAGTGGTTATGACTAATTAGAATACCTTTTTGTATGTGTGCTAGTCCTGGGGCTTGAACTTATGGCCTGAGTCTGTCTTGAGTTTTTTTGCTCAAGGCTAGCACTCTACCTACTTGTCATAGCTCCACTTCTGATTTTTGGAAGTTTATTGGAGAAAAGAGTCTCTATGGACTTTCTTGCCTGGGCTGCCTTTGAATCTCAGTCCTCAGTTCTCAAGGCCTTCTGAGTAGCTAGGATTACAGGTGTGAGTCACCGGCATCCAGCAAGGAATATTTTTTGTAAAAATATAAAAATATTATATCAAAACAAAAAATACAAAAACACAACTTATGAACAAAGGTATACTTCTAAGTTATTATCAATAAGCCATGCATAATGGTTTGAAGGATTTGGATGAAGGAAACATACCATTATGCTGCTCATGAGAAAGTGATAATTAGATATTATACAGCAAATGTACTTTATTTGCATATTTGAAAGCAAAGCAGAAAGATGTTGAAATTGTTTTAGACAATGGAATGGGGGCAAGGGAGAGTAATAGAATGAGTTTAATTGGGATATATGTTATGAATGTATGGAAATGTCACAATGAACCTGTTACTGCAGTAATATATGTACACAATAACACCATATATCTAATAAGTTAACCCAAAGTGCATAAAAGACTATCTTACACATAAGTAGCAAAAACAGAAATAAAACAGAACAAAAACCCTAAGTACTCATACAAGTACTATTAAAAGTGAGCAAGAAAATTGAGTATTTTGTATTTAACTTCTCCAGATAATATATAAAAATGGTCAATAGATACTATCAGGCACTCATCACTAATCATTAGAGAAGTGTCAGTCAAACCACAATGAGATATCGCCTCACTAGAGCATAGCCACTATCAAACAAATAGACAAGCCTTAGAAGTGTTGGTGTCTTGTGCCAGTACAATGTTATCTGTGTTATGTAGTTCGAAGTCAGGCATTGTGATACCTTAGGTTTTTTGTTCTTTTTGCTCAGGATGATTTGACTTCAGGGTATTCTATATTCCCCTAAGACTTAAGACTTTTTTTTCCTATTCTCTGAGTAATGTTATTGGAATCGCAATAGGGATTAGGTCTGTAGGTCGAATCTGTAGATAGCTTTTGACCACTTTTACAAATTCTTACATAAAGGTGGTGTACAGAGGGCTTACAGTTACATAAGTCAGATAAAAAGTACATTACATTTTTAAAAATATTTTTATTATCTTTAAGTAGTTGTAAAGGGGAGTTGTCATTTAACAAAGTAATCCCAGTATCACCATTCTTTGTAGTTTCCTTGTTATTCAGAATTTATTTAAATATAAAGGAAATATGAAAACCTTATTTTCTCCTTTTTTGGCTTGGTCATAGGGTTTGAACTCAGAGCCTAGGTGCTTTCCCTGAGCGTTTTTGCTAAAGGCTAGCACTACCACTTTGAGTCATAGCTGTACTTCCAGTTTTCTGGTGGTTAATTAGAGATGAGAGTCTCATGGACTTTCCTGCCTGAGCTGGCTTTGAACCATGATTCTCAGATTTCAGTCTTGTGAGTAGTTAGGAATACAGCCTCTTATTGTCTCCTTTTTCTTTTTTTTTTGGGGGGGGGGGGGTAGTCCAGTCGTGGGGCCTGAACTCTGGGCCTGGGCACTGTCCCTCAGCTCTTCAGCTCAAGGCTAGCACTCTACCACTCGAGCCACAACACCACTTCCAGCTTTTTTTTTTTTTTTTTGCTTTTTGCTTATGTGGTGCTGAGGAATCGAACCCAGGGCCTCATGCATGCAAGGCAAGTGCTCTACCACTGAGCAACCTTCTCAGCCCCATTGTCTCCCTTTTCAAAACCTCTTATTGTCTCCCTTTTCAAAAGGTATCATATCTATACACTCTCTTGCTCACCTTGCACTGTTTGCTTATTAGATCTTGAGGTATTTGCATTCTGGATTAGAGAGAAGTGTTCTCATTGATCACTGATACATTGCATTCACTTTATTAAGAATGATGCAGAAAAAGGTAAAAGTTAAAAAAAAAAAAAGAATGATGCAGAGGCCAGGTGCTGGTGGGTCATGCATGTCTGTAATCCTAACCTCAGGAGGCTGAGATGTGAGGATCATGGTTCAAAGCCAGCCTGCGCAGGAAAATATGTGAGACTCTTGATCTTCAAATAACCCCAGAAAACCACATGTGGCATTGTGGTTCAAAGTGGCATATCACTAGCCTTGAGCAAAAAAAGAGCTCAGGGACAGAGCCCAGGCCCTGAGTTCAAGCCCACAACCAATTAACAACAACAATAACAACAACAAGAAGAATGATGCAGTGGCTCACTCTCTTCTCTGATTCCAGCTACTCAGGAAATGGAGAGTAGGAGGACCAATGTTTGCAGCTAGCCTAGGCAAAAAGTTACTGAGACCCTTACTTCAACAAATAAACCTGGTATGGTAGCGCACATTTATAATCCCAGATACATGGGAGGCATAGGTAGAAGGATCATGGTTCAAGACTGACCCTGAACTAAAAGCATGAGACTGTGTCTAAAAAGGAGTGCCAGGTTGTGGCTCAAGTGGTAAAGTACCTAGCAGGTTTGAGACCTGAGATCAACTCATCCTTCTAAGAAAATAAGTTTTGATGTAGTTTACATTCAACGGGGAAAATTCTTAATTATAAAACATGCAAACAAGGCACCAGAAACTTTGACAATTACGTATGACAACATTTTTTAGCAACTGGAATAGAAATAAATTTTCTTAGCCTACTGAAATGTTATAGGTAGTATGAACTTTGATCTGTATTTTTGTTTTTGGTTCATGCAGGGAATTTCACCAGGGTCTTGCCTGCATGCATACTGTTGCTGTTCCAGGGCTAGTTTTTTTTTTTTTTTTTAATTTACTTCCCTTTACTGCTTCTGTTTAACCTTATGTTACAGGATAAAGGCAAAGAAATAAAAACTAGTCATTTGTAAGTAAGCAAATGACATATTAGTTGTAGATAATATACTACCTACATAGCCCCACATAACCTAGACACAAATTAGTGGATTAATAAAAGTTTCCCAATGCCTACATTTAAGATAAAAATATAATGATTAAATTCTTAATTTCAGTCAAGCTATAAAATATATTTAAGCCAGGTGTAGTGACTCATGCCTGTTAATTGTAGCTACTCAGGAGGCTGAGATCTGAGGATTGCCATTTAAAGCCAGACTAGGCAGAAAAATTCATGAGACTTTTTTTTTCCCCCCCTGTCAGTCGTGGGGCTTAAACTCTGAGCCTGGGCGCTGTCCCTCAGCTCTTCAGCTAAAGGCAAGTGCTCTACCACTTGAGCCACAGTACCACTTCTGGTTTTCTGAGTGGTTTATTGGAGATAAGAGTCTCACTGACTTTCCTGCCTGGGCTGGCTTTGAACTATGAACCTCAGATCTCAGCCTCCTGAGTTGCTAGGATCACAGGCATGAGCCACCAGTGGCCAGCTCATGAGACTCTTATCTCCAGTTAACCAGCAAAGGCCAGAGCTGTGGCCCAAGTGGTAGAGTACTAGCCTTGAAAAAAGAAGCTAAGGGACAGCTCTCAGGCCCTGAGTTCAAGCCCAAGTACTTGCATACATGCATGCACATGCACATACACACACACACACACACACACACACACACACACAATTACAACTCTTTTTTTTAATTAAAATATACTCTATATACTGAAAAATAAATCACCTTTGGATCAATCTATAAAAGTTGACCAAATAGGGGCTGGGAAGGTGGCTCAGTGGTAGAGCACTTGCCTTGTGTGGATGAGGCCCTGGATTCGATTCCTCAGCACCACATAAGCAAAAAGAAAAAAGCCGGAAGTGGTGCTGTGGCTCAAGTGGTAGAGCGCTAGCTTGAGCTGAAGCGCTGAGGGACATCGCCCAGGCCCAGAGTTCAGGCCCCAGGACCAGACCCCCCCCCCCCCCAAAAAAAAAAAAAAAAGTTCACCAAATGCTTTGGATAAATGAGAGACATGGCTTTGTAAATTAATGAAACGAGAGAAACCCTATGATCTTACTTGAACATTAATCATGTGGAAAAAACAAAATGATCTTCTTTACCCACACAGAAAAATCAACAATCTATAACTGTCATCACAAATGAAATGTTGAACAAAACAATGCAATTAAAAAAATATATCCATTGTGCTATGATTTAGATTTTGTTGTTGGTGGTGGTGGTAGTGGTCCCTGATCTCTGGGCCTGGGCACTGTCCCTCAGCTCTTCAGCTCAAAGCTAGCACTTGAGCCACAGCGCCACCTCCGGCTTTTTTCTTTTTGCTTATGTGGTGCTGAGCCCAGGGCCTTATGCATTCAAGGCAAGCACTCTACCACCTAACCACATTCCCAGCCTGATTTAGATTTTTTAAAATATGTGAAACAATGCCTGTTATTTCCTAGCATATTTGACTCCCACAATCGAAATTACAACCGAGTTTATCATTTAGGATTTGTGAAATAATCAAGTTTTACTCATTGTGGGTTTTGTTCTTAGGGAACATATACTCCCCATATACTTTTTTGGGGGGCCTGAATTCTGGGCCTGGGCGCTGTCCCTCAGCTCTTCAGCTCAAGGCTAGCACTCTACCAAATGAGCCACAGCGCCACCTCCGGCTTTTTTCTTTTTGCTTATGTGGTGCTGAGGAATCGAACCCAGGGCCTCAGGAATGCAAGGCAAGCACTCTACCACTGAGCCATCTTCCCAGCCCCTCCCCATATTCTTACAACCTCTGCACTTCCCTAATTTAAAGCCATATTGAGGGACTTCATTCTCAATTCCTGGGTCAAGATGGAACCCCAGGTTGGATAGAGCACTGGAAACTTTTACGAACAATGCTGATACCATTTAGAAGTATATGTGCTATCTAGTTTTACTTTCGAGAAAAACTGTCCCTTGCCTTGAAAAACAAACAAAAAGAAACTACAAGGGAATGTCAAGCACTGGACTAAAGATCCTGTCACCAAATGTCAGGGAAAACATGATGGACAAAAGCAGGTATAGAGAGGATTTTAGTTTTGAAGTTGCAGGGGTATAGATGTTCAGTTTCGAAGGTTTTTTGGTGGCCTACTTATATAAAATTTTTTTTTCCAGGTTACTTTGCCTGTTTGAATACTTTTTTTATTTTTTGTTTTGTTTTGTTTTGCTTTTGTTGGTCGTGGGGCTTGCACTCTGGGCTTGGGCACTTTCCCTCAGCTCTTCAGCTCAAGGTGAGCACTCTACTACTTAAGCCACAGCGCCACTTAGAATACTTTTTGATTTAGCTCGGTGATCTCAGAACATGAAAGGTCAGTCAGGTACTACAGGTACCTGAAACAGTTGTGAGACATGAACAAACTATAATCTCATTTCCCCCTTTCCTCATCTAAATAGTGTGAACAATTACTTCATATATAGTTACGAGGACTCCTTATTTGGCACATGAATAGTAACTCAGATAGCTTTTAATTTTTACCGTAGGATTCTATCTTCTTCTAGAAATCATTGATTCTGGGTGGTTTCTTTTTTCTTTTTTTTTTTAATGCTGTGCTTTCTCTTCTTGTTCCTCGGCTTCTTTCCTTGAATCTTCTCTGCGCCTTGGGCTTTTTGTTTCTACCTTGCTTGTCTGCAAGCTATGTGAGATGCTTGGGTAGCTGTTGTCAGTTCTGGTTCTGGTTGGGTTATGTCAAGAGAGGTGTTCTGTGCTTAGCTGAAAGTAGAGAGGCCCTGTGGAAAACTTAAAACATCCATTCCCCATCATTGTGGTGTGGTCACAAACTGTGTCAGACTTCACGAGGCAGGACCTGGGTCACGGAAGCTCCTGCTCCCACGTAGTCGTGCCCATCAGTGCCCCTTGCTTGGAGTGTGAGCTCTTTCCTCATATGGGTCCCACTTGCTGAAAATGTTAGGGAACACTCTGTTTGCTGTGTCCTCCAGGTCGGATCCGCACAAGACGGCAAAGTTCCGGGAGTGCCACCAATGTCGCCTCTACACCCTCTGACAACCGGGGCCGCAGCCGTGCTAAAGTGGTTTCACAGTCTCAGCGTAAGAAGTTCTATTTTATGCCTTTGGTTACCTTTGTTTTGTTCAACAGCCCAGCTTGCACCGGAACACAGGTGTCAGTATTTGCACTGACTTCACAGAGGAAAATGCATTATTGGGGCTCTAAAATACCATGAGTAGCTTCACTGTTGGGTAAGCTTACAAGATGAAACATTCCAGGCCTAGTTTGTTCTCTTTACAGGTGATTTAAATTTGTGTAGTTGATAATTGTTACTTTCCCTGTCTTAAAGTCACCTAAACTGAAACTTATCTATTCGTGCTATGACCCATTTTTATGTGGATCAGGAGCCTTCCATTTTAGAGCAGAACCTGTGGAGGAATTAGTACTGCCAAGCTTTTCCGATGGCAAATAAGTAAATCCATTTAAAAGCTTCTCCCCTTAGCCCTGTGTGCTAACACTCGCAGCCTCACTTGTCTTATTCCAATATGGGCTCATGCTTTGCCTAGTGGCCCTGGCTCTACTCCTTGCTTGCTTTTCTGTATTATGTGACCTCAGTGTGCCTGCTAGCCTCAGCCAGGGAAGCAAGGGAGCTAGAATGAACTTATTTAATCAACCTTAGGTGATAAACTTAGAGGCTCACTTTTCTGCCCCACTCAGCTGGGAATGGCCAGCTTTCCCTCTGTGCAGGTAGAGGGAGCTGGGTATGAGGACACTCCTGGACAAGGTGATCATAGCAAGGAAGAGTCTTTTCACCTCACCTTTAGCTTACACAAGTCTCTCTGATATAGCTCCATAAGCTGTGTGGCTTATGTAGATCCCAAAGTCTGTGGCCAGACTTTGAGATCTTAGTATTGAAAATTCCCTTGGTGGCTCTTGAACTGCGCCTCTCTTAATGTCTTCATATTAGATAAGCTTTGATCTTCATGAAAAGGTGATGGAAAGTCAGTTATATTGCTGCCTCTGGTTTGTCTCCAGTAACTTAAGTTACATAGGCTATATATTGTGCAGTATGATACACTCTGGCTGTGATACTACCCTACTGTATGTAGTGTGATGTTGGGTGAATCATAACCATTATGAGCCTGGCTCTGGTTTTTGTGTCAAACCCTAGTGGTTCCTGGTTATGCCCTCAAACAGGGATCAAATCTTACTACAAGGAATTCTTGACCAAAGTGTTTAACATCATAGGTCAGTCAATAAAAGAATTGATTTTTTTTTAAACCTGCCACATCTTTAACTGCTGTGTTTTGCCACTCGCTGGAGAGTGGGGCTGAGCAGTATTTTATATTCGTTTTTATCTGCTGTGGCCTATGTAGTGTTCCTTACCTGAGATGTGTCAGTGCTCTGTCTCTCTTCCTGTTTTAGGAATCTGTATAGCTTCTAGGTTTGAGTGTTTGCTCTCTCTCCCCCTCTCCTCTCTTTTTTCTCTTCTCTCTGTCCAGGATTTAGGGATCCATATATTTCTTATGCTTAGGAGGAGGCAAAGCATAGAGTTTTTTTTTTAGTGGGACTGAGAGAATGGCTCAGCTTTAATTCTTCATATGTAAACATGCTGAACCTGGCTACTTTTAAAACTCCTCAGGTTTCACCCACAGGAAGGGAGACTACCACAGGGCAGCATACAGCCAACCTTGTACCTCAAGCTTATGCCAGACACACAAGATACTTGTAACAATTATTTTAATGTGAGATAAATATGAGCATACTTAATACATAGGTATACTGGTATTCACAATCTTAGTTTAATACTAAGTGCATTTTATTAATGCTAGATTAAGGCCCTAGTAATTGACATATTTTTAATATATGCAACTTAAGGAAAGTCACAGATCATTCAGGCAAAATAGTTAATAATTCTTTTCCAGCCATTGATAGGTACTGAGCACTTGTTAGGTAAGCATTTTTGAGAACAGAGATAATACCACAGATGAGTGAGTTTTACCTGTTTCCCTCAGTGTGCTCCAAGCTCAAGGGATGTCCTCTTAGGAGTACAGGGTGCTTATTTTATGATAGATTTGAAATGGATACAAAAACACTATGATTAATATAAAATAAGTATAAGCACATATAGAAACTAGGAAGAACAAATCCTAGGAGAAATAGCTATTTTGCTAATGTGCTTTGAATAAGACATTTGTGTTGTGTTGCATGCTGACCTTGTGTATTGTGTTATTGTCTTTTAATCCACTTTTTGCCTGTCCTTTGGTCTGCTCTCATAATCAAGGATCCAGATCTGCTAATCCTGCTGGTGGTAAGCCATTTCTCTACTTGCTTTTTTTTTTTTTATGCATTCTTCCTTGCCCCATGTTCTTTGTACAGTATTAATTTTTCTTTGTTAGAAGCTTAATTAATCTTGTGAATTTTTTCTGTACAAGTACTAGAATTTGAAATGGATTTCTTTTGGCCTTCTATCCACATTAGTAGTTTATACTTCATAGTAAAGTGTATTGCTGAGATTTACAATGACTTTCACTGCAGATTGTAGTAAAATCATTGCAAAATGTTAATTTTTATGAGAAGTCACCCAAATGATTCCTTTCAACAATGTCAGTATTCATATATAACCTTTTAGAAACATGTATTATAAAGTAATACATATTTAAGCATTATATAATGCATGTATATGCATGTATATATGTATATATGTATACATACACATATATACATATACATACATACATGTACATACACACATCATGTATTACTTCTAGGTAAATATTGTTTCAAAGGTTTTTTTTTTCCTCCCTCTGGCTCTTTCTACTCCAGTACACAATAAAGTGTACTTTACATTTTAGAATTTTATTAGCTTCTCTACTGATGATTTAGGTAAATAGACTGCCATTTTGGCTAAAAGTAGTATCATGCTTAAATTTTTGTTCTTTTCTTTGAGAATTTTGTCCCGTGAAAGTATTTCTAAAGATATCTCAACACTTAGCTATTACTTAACTACTAATAAAGTATTAGTATAAGTATTGTTACTTAGTTTTGTTGCATACTTTTCAGAAAATGGCCTTACATGATTTCTACTTTTATATATTTCTTTGAGATTTGTTTTGAGGCATAGTACAGGTGTTTTTTAAAAAAAAATAATATTCGTTTGTGGAAGGATGAAACGTTCTCTTGGGATGCACACATGTATATGGAGGAGCTGTGTGTTTGTGTGTGTGTGTGTATGTGTATGTGTGCAAGTGTGCAGTTATACATTGCTTAATGAAGAGTGTACATTCTGCATTCTGAAAAGTGTTTTTTTTTGGTGCCAATCTTAGGGTTTGAACTCAGGACCTGTGGCTGTCCCTGAGCTTTTTAGCTCAAGTATAGCATTCTACCATTTGAGCAACAGCTCCACTTGTGTGTGTGTGGGGGGAGGGGGTTGGCGGTGGGTGGGTGGGTGTGGGTGTGGGTGTGTGTTTAATTGGAGGTAAGAGTCTTGGGGACTTTCCTGCCTGGGTAGGTTGTAAACCATGATCCTGAGATCTCATCCTCCTGAATAACTAGGGTTATAGGCATGAACCACTGGTGCCAGGCTGAAAAGTAATAGGTAATATTGCCTTGTGAGCATCCCTGAGTGCATATAGACAGACCAAGATGGCTACATCACTAAGCTGCAGTGTATATGCAATCTGGCATTGATGCAACATAGTTAGATTGTTAGGAAGTGCATGACGATTTATATGTACACAGCTTCTCACCCATACTCAAAAGTTCAACTCTTTGTTACACTAATTTCTTGAGATTTATTAGACTTTCCATGAGATTTCTTAATTATTTTTATCTTTTTGTATGATTTTTATTTCAGAGCTATGGTTGAAGTATAGAAATTTGTTGTTATTCATGAGCAGTTATTGTTTCGATGCTGAATATCTTTTGTCTTTTAAATTGCTTTATTCTATTTCATTTTGAATTATGTTGTTTGATCCTTGTAAACAACAGGCAGATTAGTTGTTTTTTATTCTTCTAAACTTGATACAAGAATCACACTTGTTACTATTATTGATATAGTTAAGCCTATTTTGTGATTCTTTTATTTATTTTTCAGTTTTTTAACTGTTATTTTAAGGGTGATATACAGAGGGGTTGCAGTTACATAAGTAAGGCAAAAAGTACACTTATTTTTTGTTGTTGTAGGTGGGGCTTGAATTCAGGGCCTGGGCACTGTCTCTGAACTCTTTTTGCTCAAAGTTAGCACTCTACCACTTTGAGTCATAGCTCCACTTCCAGTTTTCTGGTAGTTAAGTGTGGAGGTAAGAATCTCACAGACATGCCCAGGCTGTCTTTGAATCACGATCTTCAGATATCAGCCTCCTGAGAGCTAGTATTAACAGGTGTGAGCCACCAGTGATTGGCTAAAGAGTACATTTCTTTTTGGACAATGTCACCCTTTCCCTCACTCAAAGAAGATATTTAGACAGATGTACAATATACCTTATTTTGTGATTCTTTTTACCTTTATTTCTTTTTTCTTATTTGTTAGACTAGTCTAATTTTCTTAGATCCATTTTCTCCAAGTAATGCTTAAGAAATTTTTGTTATACTTGTTTTTCTCTTGTGATGGTGCTGGGACTTGAATTCAAGACCTTGTGCTCTTGCTTGGCATTTTCACTCAAGGCTAGTGTTCTGATACTTAAGCTCCACTTTTGTCTTTTTACTGGTTAATTAGAGATAAGAGTCTCTAGTATTTGTCTGTCTAGCCTAGTTTTGAACTGGGATATTCAGAACTCAGTCTCTTGAGTAGCTAAGATTATAAGTATGAGCCATCTGTGCCCAGCTGTATTTATGCTTCTGCTCTTTTAGTACTTACAGTTTTTAACCTATCAGCTCCTACAGAATTAAAACAAAACAAAACCTTAAGTAAGGGAGACTCTCAGAGTGGTAGAGTGTTTACCTAGTATATCTAAGTCCCTGGGTTTGATCCATAGTACTGCCATAATTAAAACAAAGTCAGACGCGGGTGGCTCATGCCTATAACCCTAGCTACTCAGGAGGCTAAGATCTCAGAATCACAGTTTGAAGCCAGCCCATACAGGTAAGTTCCTGAAACTCTTTTTTTTTTTTTTTTTTTGCAGTCATGGGGCTTGAACTCCAGGCTTGGGTGCTGTCCCTGCACTCTTCAGCTCCAGGCAAACGCTCTACCACTTGAGCAACAGAGCCACTTCCGGTTTTCTAGTGGTTTATTGGAGATAAGAGTCTCATGGACTTTTGTGCCTGGGCTGGCTTTGAGCCACGATCCTCAGATCTCAGCCTCCTGAGTAGCTAGGATTATAGGCCTGAGCCACCGGTGTCTGGCTGTAACAGAGTTTTTAATATTGGCTCCTGAAACTCTTATATCCAATTTACCACCAGAAAACTGGAAGTGTCACTGTGGCTTAAAGTGGTAGAGTGCTAGCCTTGAGCAAAAAAGCTCAGAGACCACACCCAGGCCCTTACTTAGTTCAAGCCCCAGGATTGAAAAAACCAAAAGAAAAAAAAAAAGCCCACCTCAGTGGTTACTTGTAGAGATTTGCTATGGAACAGGGAGGCTATTGTTGGTACTCAGTACTTTTGAATTTAGAAATTGTGCAGCCATTTTTGTAGAGGTCTACAGTAACTCTTATAAACATGTTATTTTATGGACCTACATTAAAAATTAATGCCACTATCCACTAAAAAGCTATTATTCTCTTAATATTTGATTCAAATAAATATATAGAAAAGCAGGCTTCTGAAATTGTAATTTATTACCTGATTTACAGCCATCATTCACTGTTGTTTTACATTACTTTTAGCTGGCAGCCGTTCGAGTTCCCCAGGGAAACTGCTGGGCAGTGGTTATGGTGGACTTGCTGGCAGTTCCTCAAGAGGTCCACCTGTGACACCTTCTTCAGAAAAACGAAGCAAAATTCCTAGGAGTCAGGGATGTAGCCGAGAAACAAGTCCAAACCGAATAGGATTAGGTAAGAATTCTCAAAGACCTTGGAATACCCTTTTCAGTTTGGTTATAATGATTACAATCTAAAGATGGTATCTGCTATAGGACTAGAGTTATGTTTTTTTTTTATCTTAAATGTTACTTTGGCGGTGTTAAAAACACATTTTGATTTGTGCTTTATACAGATTATGGCATATTGAAACATGGTACTTGGGGTTCAAATGAATGGACACAAATGTGTAAAAAATTGTCAGAGTTTGAAGTGGAGATGTGGCTCAAGTGGTATAGTACCAGACTTGAGGCAGAAAAGCCAAGTGAGAGTTTGAAGCCCTGAGTTCAATCTCTAATACTGACATAAACAAAAATAAATAACCACAAAACATCCACCTTGTTATTATAGGCTTTTATAGAATTGGGAAAATAAGGGGGAAATGATTTTCCCTCAGAGTTAGAACCAGCGTCACTTCTTATTTTTCTTTCACTTATTCACCCACAAGCAATTTGTAGGGTCTTTTAATTCTGATATCCAACTTAACTGGTGAAACTCATAGTCAAAGAATATGTGTAGTTACTTTTAAAATAATGTTTTTGAAACATGAAAGCAAAAAATTGATGATAACCTAGTTAAATTTATAGCTTTTCTTTTTATTGCATCTTTATCTGCTTCCTAAAGATATATTACTATAAAGTCACAATACCATCTCCTTAATTCTTGTTGGCTTATCTTTCCTATTTATTCACTCATTCATTTATCTTCTCAGCAATTTTTATACCTGAATATTTTCGGTGATATATGTGAACCTCAGAATTAGAAGACAAATGAAATAGATTCAGCTTCTGACTTCTGAGTCCTCGTGAGTGACTTCAGAAAGGTGGAAAAATAAAACTGCATGAAAAAAAGGTGACAGGGTTCACTGATGCCATGAAAAAGGAGGAACCTTAGACCTTTGTTCTCCAGTCCTCCCACAGTTCTTCCTGAGAGGCTTTCTACCATAGGTACTGTTTGAAATATAAGGTGGGATTAGCCAGATAGGGAATCAAGAAAAGGGGAAAAATGTGATGCTGTAGGGGAGAAAGAATCAGGTAGTTTATTTGACTACAGCCATGGCATGGGAATGGTAGATTGCAGTTCCTGAGCTAGTAGGATCTAGCTCAGGAAAACCCTTGAAGGCTCCCTTGAGCTATAAAAAGCCATGAGCAGATATTTAAGAAATTTGTCTTGAACTCATATTTCTTAACAAAGTGAAGTTGTTTGGTTTGGTTAATTCTCTGTGATGTCTGTTGACTTTGTATGACATTGCATAGCATGGTCTCTGAGCTGACAAGTTATTTGTGTATTGATGAGGGTTTAACCAGAGAAGAGATCAAAGCTAGAATATGCAAATTTCTCATATGATACTGCATCATATCTGGGTTTGGTGCTTATTGTATTTTAAATCTAGGTTTATGTTTCAACTGTCCTTTCCCATAATTAATTGCTGAAACTTATAAAGGTATATATCTTGACAAGCCATCCTAGTATTATTAGATTTTTCTTATACTCTTCTGCTTATGGCCTTTTCTTTTCCTATGTATTGAAGATGCCATTTTCACCTCCTTGTAATAAATTCAGTGATCTAAAATCTGCTATTTCTGTTTTGGATAGTTGAATAGGCAGCAGTTTTCTAAGCTTTTTAAAGTGTAATGAAACATGAATAAAAACTAAAGAGGCAAAGCATGTTCGCTCTTCTGATGAGTTTTTAGTTGAGTTATTCTTTTGATCTAGATTATTTTCTTGAAACATTAAGAAGATTAATCTGTGATCACTTAGTATATACTGAATATATATCTGTATGTGTCCAGTTTTAAATATGAATATTGAAAAAGGGAGTGATACCTTTTAAGTTAAACTTTGTTATTCCTAAACCAATTAATTCGTGATAATTTAATGATAACTAAAGTAGAATTAGAATTTACATTGATGGGGCTGGGAAGGTGGCTCAGTGGTAGAGTGCTTGCCTTGCATGCATGAGGCTCTGGGTTCGATTCCTTAGCACCACATAAGCAGAAAAGAAAAAAGCCGGAACTGGTGCTATGGCTCAAGTGATAGAGCGCTAACCTTGAGCTGAAGAGCTGAGGGATAGTGCCCAGGCCCAGAGTTCAGGCCCCGTGACTGACAAAAAAAAAAAAAAAAATTGGGTGCTGATATCTTATGCCTGTAATCCTAGCTATATAGGCTGATGGTCTAGAGGATTGGAGGTTCAAAGGCCAGCATACGCAGAAAAGGCCATGAGACACCATCTCTAAAGTAGTAAAAACTGGGCAACAGGTATGGCTTAAGTGGTAGAGCTCCAGCCAAATAAGCTGAGAAAATGCAAGGTTTTAAGTTCAAACCCTATATTGGCAAAAATCAAATAAACAAAAAAAAAACAATGTAATTCTTGTTGGGTAATCAAGAAACAAACAAAAAATTCACCACTGCTCTTTTTTGCTCTTGGCAGTTTATTTCCTCATAAGCCATCAGTCAAATGGGACAGTATATATAATTTCAATTTTGTGTGTTTAAACAACAGTAAGACTTTAGAAGTCCCTCACAAAAATAGTTTGCATTTTGGCATTTTGACTTTGGTTTCCTCTTCTCAATCATTTGATCTTTTTGCAATTTCAATTTTGTGAGTGGGTATTTAAAATATTTTTAAACTTTTTGTTTAAAATATTTTAAAAATATTTTTGGAAGAATTAAAAGTAAGTCATTGTTTCAATTGTGAGATGAACTGTGACATGACACTATCTGTACTACAGAGGCCAGAACTGGTGCTATGGCTTAAGTGGTAGAGCGCTAGCCTTGAGCTGAAGAGCTGAGGGACAGCGCCCAGGCCCAGAGTTCAGGCCCCACGAATGGACCCCCCTTCGCCCCCCAAAAAAATAACATGAGTCATTTCCATTAATTCTTTTGGTATGAGTTATGGTTGAATCTGTTCTTAAAAAGATGACAGTCAGGACTATGCTTAAATCATTGTGATAGTAGGTGAGTCTATAAAAGATGAGCACTGGTCTGGTAGTTTTTTTAAGGCTTTCCAGTGTTTCTGATAAGCATGACTCAAGAACAATGCTGCTTTTAGGAAGTTCACCGGTGCTCATTGTCTCTTTCTATTCACACCTTTTCTCATTCCCACATAGGACGTTCACTTGGGGGATTTCATAGGCATAAAATGGTTTGTTTGTAGTTCTCCCGCTATCCTATAAAAAAGATTTATTTTGTATACTTACTTTGAAGTCACCATATAGTCTTGAAAGTAGAGTTATAGTTACTGTTATAGGTTGGATGAGTGTTTTTCCTCTTCTTATTCAAAGTATTTAACACTTAAATGGTTGATGTCACTACCAGGTATTTTTTTCATGAGGTTTGGGAACACTTTGGGCAGATATTTGCAAAATTGTAGACACTAAGTGTTTTTTCCTATATGCAGCTACTCATCATACTTAAGGGAGCTGTGAATGAACTGTCTGAGTGGGATACTAGGAAGGTTTACCTTGTTAAGAAGTTTATGTATATATTATTTCAGATCATGTCTATTTTTCCCTACGAATGTTCTTTATTATCTTTACAAAGGACACTTACCCAGGGAGAACATTTATTTTCCATTTCTGTAGCATATGAACTTGAAGAAGCAGGGAGAGCCTACATGAAAATCTTAAGTAATCAAGCATTAACTATTCAGAAATACTTAATTAAGCATGTACTTATATGAAAATGTCAGGAGTTTTTGACAATCTGTTTTGACAGTGTTATTCAGCAAGGAATTCAGAAGTGCTTATGTATATGCCTTGTCTGATTTATTGGTGGGATTCTTTCTCATTCCACATTTTTTATGGGGCGGATGGAACTCAGAGAAGCCAAGTGTCTGGACCATGAGCTAACTGGGAACTGGTCAGGTCACTTTATGGATTAGATAAATAGCAATTCTCTGTCCATTCTAGGAAATTTCTCTATATTGGTGGGGTCAGTAGACACTTTTCAGTTTTTTAAAGGATTTAATTTGTTGTCTTATTACTTTTGTCTTTTTGTAGTAACAGTTTAGCATATTAGTCATTACTACTTTTAGTGAAGACTCAGTGACTCAGTGTTTCCACTTTGGCAAAGTGAAAGTAAGTCCAGGAATTACTAGTGGAAACCCTTTGAGGCCATTTGCTCAGTTTGCATTCCTGCCTGATCTTCCCCTTCTGACTGTACTGAGTATTTGGATATCATATGCCCTGAGATTATCAATCTACTTGCTATAACTACAGTATGTAAGACAGGATCCATGAAGGAAATTGGAAAGGACTCCCCCAGGGAAAAGCAAACAGGGATTAAAGTTAGGATAAGAAAATATAACACTCCCAACTCTGGATCTGTTTATTTGGATCATTGAATTTATGGGGAACATCTCCACATTGACTCAAATGGGCAGGCTGTCTCCATAGAGAAGACAGTATTGGGAAAACTGAGCTCTGCCCTCTTTTCTTTTGATTAGGTAAGTTTGTGGACCTCTAAGACAAGGACCTTTTTTTCCTTTTGCTAGCCCAAATTAACTGATATTTTTAGAAACCACATGCATATGAAAACACTTTTGGTCTTCTGTCCTCTTGTCAAATTTTCTAAAGCTTTAAAAACTGATTGATTTCTAAATGGCTTTCAATCTTGTGTTTTGTATGTCCAGTTCTTTCTTTGGAAAGGTTTTACTTCTCACACACAATGTAAACCCATGGCTGTCTGAGTCATTGAGTATAGTCAGGTTCCAGCCCCTCCTCCTACTGCTAATTAGTTAGTGAGACCCCAGCATGAATAGGTTGGTCCAGTCATCAGAACTCAGTGCAGACAATGTCATAATTACATTAACCAACTGTGACTGACGTTTGTGAGTTTTTCTGCCTTCATTAAACTTGTTCACCTTCTCTGAAACCCTTCATGCTGCACGCTAGCACGGAGCAGCCGTATCCCTCGACCCAGCATGAGTCAGGGGTGCAGCCGCGATACCAGCCGTGAGAGCAGCCGAGATACAA